AGAGAGAGAGGGAGAGAGGGAGGGAGGGAGAGAGGGAGAGAGGGAGAGAGAGAGGGAGGGAGAGAGAGAGAGAGAGAAAGGGCTCTCTAGTGTCTCTTCTTATAAGGGCACTAATTCCATCATAAGAGCCTCACCCTCATGACCTCATCTAAACCTAATTCTTTCCCAAAGGTCCCATCTCCAAACACCATCTCACTGTGTATTAGGGCGTCTACATATAAATGGGGAGGGGCACAAACAGTTCAGTCCATAGCACTTGATAAATAAAATAATATTTTCAAAGGCCATGACATATTTTCAGAAATTAATCACATTTTAAACAAGAAAACTGAATTCCAAAAAGTGAAACTGTTTTTACAGGCCAATATCTCTGAGTACTGTGCAATAAAATTTGGAATCAATATGAGAGGATGAACCAATATGAAATGACAAAGAAACTAAGAAAACCTTCTAAATAAATTCTATCCCTAGGAATAAATAACAGCTGTAGTCACAGACTAAATGGTATGTGGCTGAAGCTATTCTCAGGAAAAGTCAAAACTTTAAATGCTTTTATTATTAAAGAAGAATGAAAGAAAATGAACTAGATATCCAAGTAAAGATATAGGAACAACAAAAAACAAAATCACCATAAGGAAAATAAGAAGAAGGAATTCATAACTTAAGAGTAAAACAAAAGTAGTGAAATGTAAAATATAAATACAAAAGTAAAATGAATGTATAAACCCAAGAGCTGCCTCTCTGTAAACCCCAATCAAATGGGTGAATTGTTGGCAAATCTAATTAGGAAAAGAGAATAAGCTGACCAGGCATGGCCCAGCGGTTGAACATCGACCTGGGATCCAGGAGATTGAGGTTCGATTCCCGGTCAGGGCACATGCCCGGGTTGCGGGCTCGATCCCCAGTCCGGGGTGTGCAGGAGGCAGCCAATCAATGACTCTCTCATCATTGATGTTTCTCTCTCTCCTTCTCCCTCCTCTCTCTGAAATCAATAAAGATATATTTTTAAAAAAGAAAAGAGAACAGAAAGCAAATAGCCCAGCTGTACAGACTGTGACCAGAGGCACAATAATGGGTAGGACTCTGAAATGCTAAACATGAAAATCTCCGGTAAAATGTATAAATCTTGATAATATAGGTAATTTTGTAGGAAAACATGATTAAAAAATGACTCAAGAAATGGGGAAACCCTACGAAACAAGATACAAGTACACATGAAGCTTATATATTATTTGCTTCTAATTAATATGACTATGTCCTTTAAAACTGTCTTTTAAAAAAACATTTGAAGGTTTTAAATTACAAGGTGCACTTTTCCTACTGATTTGTTACATTTAGATTTATACACTTCAATGAATTTATCGTGGTCCCTTTTGTAGATATAAGGGTGACTGAATCCTCCCAAGATTATAAATTAACAGTTCAAAAATTGGAAAGCTGTTTCTGTGCTGTTTCCACATGATAGTAATGGTAATGATAATAATGACAGTAACGGTAATGAGGCAGGAAAAACTGGATGGACTTGGGAAATAATGGGGAGGCAGCATCCTCAGAGGTTGGTGATTGATGATGAACATGGGTGCACGTGGGCTCTGGCTCATGCAGCTAGGTGAGAGGCGGAAGGCTGCCCTCTGTGGACCGGGTGGTAATGAGTTCAAATTGGGACGACTTAGCTTGAAATAGTGATTATTTGTATGAGACTGAAGTTCAGGGGAGAGATACAGGCTGGAGATAGAGACACGGGAGACATCAACATGAGATGGCAAGCGAAGGCAGTATGGATGAGATCATGAGTAACAGAAGACTGAAAAGAGAAATGTTTTAATGTCCATGTCAGTCATTCTGGGGCTCGATTTTATTCAGTTTCCCACTACTATATGAATTTACATATGCAGATTGGTATAACTGTCTAGTGTATGTAAGTCATCTTTCCAACATAGCTATGACATAACTATATTTTATAATCTGCATATATAGCAAAGAGTCATGAAATCAGATTTATTAAGTTCATCTAAATAATGCCTTGTGACATCAAAGACATGCCAGCTTTGGGGCATAAAATATAAAGCTATATTGTACCAACTTCACATATATAGAAACATCACTCCTCATAATGTCAGTCTTTTCCACCATGATACGTACAAGAGTTGAGGGTTTGATATAATGCATACCTAAGTGTAAAATATATTTATCTCCTAATATCAATTTTTATTTATTTGGTTTAGTTGTAGAAAACCACTTTATTTATAACTGATAAAAATTCATCACTTTAAATATAGCAGCTATTAACTTAAATTTTTTTTCATGGATATTTCAATATCATGTACTGACAAATTTTAAAAGAATGTTAGTAGGATTATATAAAAATGTGTATATATAATAAATATTTAAAGTAAGTTGTTAAAATGACATTTACTTTTCACTTCTTAAACTATACTTTTTTTTTTCTTTCTTACTTTTACCTATCAATCTTATGGAAAAATAGTAACAGAAATAGGTTATTGATCCTAGCTGATGTTCCCTATGAAAACTGAAATGAAATCTTTAGGAAGACAGGAAAGAGAAGAGAATTCTCTAATTCTGCTTCAGAGTAATACAATATATATGATAAAGATTAGTATAATTTATACTTCATTAATTCAAAAAATATTTCAAACTTGATCCATTTTAATATTGTAAAGAAAAAAGTCCTTTATTTGGTGCACCTTAATTTAAAATGTAAGATGTTTCAGGTATCCTTCCTAAATTCATTTTTTCCCCCAAAAAACCCCCATAAAAATATAAAAATTATGCATTTTCTCCCCACTCCTGCACATACACCCCATTTTACCCACCACAAAAATTCAGAATTGTGCTAGAGTCTGTCTGTGCCTTCCTGTTTCAAACCAGTCTCATTCTTGGGCCTTCTCCTTCCCCTGCCCAAGTATAATTAGTAACAACTGGCTGCTCTTTCTTCCTGCTACACTTTTACACATTCTGTTACGGTTTTTCAATTTCATCTTATGCAGAACATTTTTAAATTATCTTTTCTTAATGTCCAGTCACATTTGTAGCCAGTACTTCAGAGATGCTCACACAATTATTTGTGTGACTCAAAATCATTCTAACAACTTTTAATTAATTCTTTGGGCTATTCAAACCAATACTGGCAATAGCTGTAAGTAGGTCTCAACTTTCTTCCAAGTCCTCTTTCTTATTCTATGTAATAGGCTCACTTCTTCCCTTTGAAGTTAATTGAAGGGAACAAGGATCTGAGCCTTTAGAATCTCAAAAGACATGAGAATGAAGCTTTCCTGGAGATAATAATGTACATGGTAGTAGCATAAACATTGTGGGGCAAGATGATACTTTTTCCTGTTAAAGAGAGAAAATAAGTTCCCCCTAAACTGTGGGAATTAAATCATAGATATTAGTTTCTTTTTGTGGTAAATATGCGGGCCTTTTAAAGGCTATATATAAGTGTGCTTCAAATATTGCCTAGTTGAAGAACATTTATAAGTCGCTATGCATGTATAAAACCAAGAGGCTTCAGAGATGGATAAACAGTTCTTACCCTAATGTTGCCTATAATCCAGTAATAGTAATGGTAATAATTACTAACATCTAGTAAGACCAGGATTTGCTCGCTAGGCTATGAGCAGCTGGTGTGTGGTGAGGGGGCTTGGAGCTCCCTGAATAGCTTAAGCCACCAAAGACTGTTTTACTGATACTTCACAGACTCTGCCTGTTGGCTGAGATAAGCAACAATATAACAACCTGCACAATACGCTTAACTGGTTTTTTGCAATGACTGTATAAAAAACAGACATTCATCTTTAGACAGAGCCACCATAAACTGCAATGATTCACCAAGATGAAAATAGCATGTGGCCAGTGCCTAAGGCCTTCAGCCGTGTGTCCAAGTCAATGATTACAAAACAACTACACAATTTGTAAAAAAAAAAAAAGTAAAAATAAAATGTTTTAATACTGACCCACACATTAAAGTTCCTCCTCATGAACCACACTCCCCAGTTATACTCTGTTTCTGTTTTTCATCAATCCAGCCCTGTCTGTCAAATTCAGCCACTCTCCTGAATTGAAATTCTCTACCCAAACTGCAGGGTACTTCTACATGGGCAGACTTTTTCACCAAATACCCGAAAGCAGAGCCTCTCTGGAGGTAGCCCAGCTCCTAAATGTAAGGAATGAGAGAGTTGGCTGGGATGGACAACACACATACTCTTCCAAATTCGCCTTCCAAACTCTTGGGCCAAAAAATTAGGCATGTTACAGTAAAGGGGTTTCTACCACATAATGTCAAATTAGGGATGAGTAAGTAGTCCCTTTGTCCCATAATTATTAAGTACCAGGAAAAAAACTATTTTGAATACATTCCTTAATCTGGCTGAAAACATCTAACTTGTGAAATAATTTAAGAGAAAATATTGCTACTTTTAAGCACATTAAGACTGAAACTATGATTTGATAGATTAGAGGATTCCTTTAATAGGTAGAGCAGGCTACCAATTACGCAGACAAGTTGGTGTTTATTGAAAATTTTTTTCCATTCAAAATATTCTTCATGGACAAATAATTAATGACTTACAAAGCATATGCTTTATTATTTTCAAAAGTAAAATTCACAAAGTATTTAAATTGATAACTTTTCACCATCTACTTAAAAACACACACAGAGCTACCAATTCTCCAGGGTTGTCCTGAGGGGCTCCCACAGCTCTCCTTGTGGAGACCCTCTTCTCATTCAGTTCCCTTGCCTCTGTAATCCCTCCTCAACATACGTTTATTGAGAACCCAGGATGAGTTGGACACGTTGTCCCCTCCATTGCCCAGGTCCTCAATGTGGCACTGCCGGGTGCTGTTCTTTAGACTACTTTCCCATTCTTTCTCTCAACTAACTGCTGAGAAGGATCTTATCAAGTAATTCTTGATGCGGTACTCATTGTTTTGAGTAGCTTAGTGTCTTGGTAACAGAGCCGCACACCTCATAGGTAAATATGCCTTAATCCAAAAGAATGAATTTATACCTGCATCCAATAAGAGAGGATTTTTCTTAAGATACCTTTCTGGTTCTCTTCATACCTGAAAGTCACCTTCAAATGAACGCAGCCACCTACTCTCTCTTGAAATAGAATGTTGCTTGCTGTCTTGGACTGTGCTTCTCAAGATACTATAAATACAGGTTCATCTGGTAATAAATACATTCCCTATTACATTTATATTGAGCTGGTACATTTGATATTATCTCTGTCTGTCTTATAGAGTTGCACTGTAGAAGTTGGAAACTCATATATTTGTGTGATTTTTCAAATTGCCTTAAAATTACTCCAAAATAGTCCCGATTTCATTCATTATGCACAAGTCTGTGATTACTGTTTTATATTTAAAATGCATCTGAATCATTGACAGTTTATCCTGAGATGTTTAAAATAAATATATTTGTCTTTCTTTGAACTAGGAGCTCATGCTAATTTTATGCTGAAAGTTCATCCTCTGAAGAAATATCCTGTGGATCTTTATTATCTGGTCGATGTCTCAGCATCAATGCATAATAATATTGAAAAATTAAATTCTGTTGGGAATGATTTATCTAAAAAAATGGCATTTTTCTCCCGTGACTTCCGTCTTGGATTTGGCTCATACGTTGATAAAACAGTTTCACCATACATTAGCATCCACCCAGAAAGGATTCATAATCAATGCAGGTATCTAGTGTTTGAGGAGGATTTCATAGTGCTAAATGAAATTTTCTTATTATTAAATCTCACTTTGTTTTTAAAGGAATTGCTAAGTTTTATATTTTTGTTTTATTATATGTGAAGTAAAAATATTTGAGGGGAAGTATGTTCCTATCTGAAAACTTCTGAGATTACCTGTTGCTTGGGCTTTTTTATATATTTTTCAAATATCATTCACTTACTTTTTTTCACCAAAAAACCCACAAATAATATGAACAATTTTGAGCAAATCTTCAATAATCAGGCTTCCACGTATATAAATACCTCCTCAAAAATTCTGTTATTTCTCTGTTTTGATTGCTTCAAATGTGTTGAATTAAGCTTTGTCAAATTCATAGCACTTATGTTGCCAGTATCTACCTTCCTATTACTGTATTGTGACTGCTGATGATTTTATTACTTATGATGTGACTTCAAAGAAAACTCAGCTAGCACATGGAGGGTAGGGCAAAAGATGAGAATCTGCCTTCTAGAATGAGCCCTTTTTCTTATCATTATGGAAGTCCAATTCTAAACAGCATATGCCCCACTCTAAAACAAAAACTGACCTTAAAAATACAAGTTTCTCACACAATAGTCTAATTCGCCTGTTGAATTTTCAGAGAGAAATATAAATGTTTAGTTCTTCATTAACAAAACTTTTCATTTCAACATCTTTCCTACTTCTGTAAATTGCCCAGATCACTTTACAGTACACACTGTAATTCACCAAAACAGCTCTGATGTAGTAGAGCAGGACTGAAACATCTCCCTGGGGAGTTTCATGAGCCTTCTCCCTGTGTGGATGCACCTGAGGAAAGTCTCACTTTTTGGAAATCATGGAATTCTCAAAACTATTTTAATGAACTTTGAATGCTCAGCAATAATTGCACACCAAGATCACTTTAAAAATAGCACAATATTTTAAAATAATCTAATAGTATAATATTTTACTAAATTGCTAAAAAAAATTTCCCAAAAAGTGTTTTTCAGTTGCTCCACGGTCAAATGTGATAAGAAATCACTACAAATTCTTTTCTCCTCTTAAAAATTAACACTACATGCTAGGATAATAAAATCCCTTAGGTGTCCTATATTATATAAGAAACATTAATCTTCTTTAGTTTTGAACACCAAACTGTTATAGTCCTATTTCCTACTTGCAAAGAAATATTCACCAATATTGAACTTTCCTCTGACTTTATAAAAGTACAGGTTTTCTTTGATAAAATTTCCTTGGCAAAACAAAACAAAACAAAATACTGTATTACCTTCTCACATCAATCACACAATTTTACTGTGAGTAGTATTTTGGATCTTTGAAGGAAGCAGAGCAAAATAGAAACTGCATTTCTTGTTAACCCACACAGTGACTACAATTTAGACTGTATGCCGCCTCATGGGTACATCCACGTGCTGTCTTTGACAGAGAACATCACTGAGTTTGAAAAGGCAGTTCATAGACAGAAGATCTCTGGAAATATCGATACACCTGAAGGAGGTTTTGATGCTATGCTTCAGGCAGCTGTCTGTGAGGTAAGACATCTCACACCAGTGAGTGTTTGTGCAAATGCGGAACTCCCCAAGAATTTAGGATAGGATTTTCACTTTCTTTTTTATTTGTAGAGTGAAAACAAAGCATAGATGAATACCTCTATCTCTTATTCGTCACCAGTGTTACTCATTTTGGCATGTGTTCAGGACAGAGAGGCTAAATTTGGAGTGGGTTATAAATAGGAAAAGATAAAAGGGAAAGAATAACTTATGCACTTGGAAAATCCTTTCCAAAAGGGCTGCTCTTTCCTCTCACCACCATCCAAGGAAGAGCCAGGAGGAGCCTCTGCCCTGCTCACACCACACTGGGTGCTCTGCGCTTCTTATACTTCCCTCATTCTCCACTGCGGGAGCACGAGAGATCTCTAGCCATGAGCTACTGTGCTCAGATGGCTGTGGGAAAATAGAGAATACACAAATAAAAGTTAATTCTATTTAAGAAACGGCATTGTTTATTACACACATCCTTCTAGCCTGGCTTGATGTTTGTGCACTTGAACTTAACGTTCACTTAAGATGAAGACCACACTACAGATCTATGTTATTGTACAAGGTCTAATTACATGTTTATTTTAAGAGTCATATTGGATGGCGAAAGGAAGCTAAAAGATTGCTGCTGGTGATGACAGACCAGACATCTCATCTTGCTCTTGATAGCAAATTGGCAGGCATAGTGGTGCCAAACGATGGAAACTGCCATCTGAAAAACAACATCTACGTCAGATCAACAAGCATGGTAATGTAGCTGTAGCCTTTTAGTAGTTATGACTTGGTTGAAGCATAAGTTTAAATGGGCAATTCAGATATTCTTGTACCAAGAAATTACCACAACGGGCATCACACATAGGGTAAGCCATGAGAGAGAAGTTCTGGAGCAATGTAATCTATAAATGCTGATCAATGAAATATAAAGCTAAAATACTGTGACAACATCTAGCAGCTGACTTTCTGATGTGCTGCAAAGGACTATATAATTTATGAAAACAAAAATGATAGAAGAGTTTACTTTTTATGCAACTGAAGGACCTATATACACACACACACACACACACACACACACACACACACATATATATATATATATATATATATATATATATACACCTTTGCTTTATATAAATTAACTAGTTCTGCAGAGTTGGTATCTAAAAACATATTAAGGATTGGTAAGAAAAGTCTATTTGACCTGAGGAAGCCTCACAATATAACAGGTAGAATCTAAGTAGAGACAAAGGGGGGAAAGGGTAAAATAAAGCCAACTTTCAATATTCTGTAGCTCATTCCTTCCCTGTGAAGCTTATCTATGTTTAGGGACTCTTTTTTTTAATCAGCGAATATCTGGATTGCTTCCTGAGGGTGTTTCAACTCTGAATCACATATTTACATATACTCTCCTAGTGTCATATCTTTCCCGGCATTATTTATTTTACATGTGGAAAATCAAATGCACAAAGCATCGTTTATGTCTGACATTGACACATATTTATACATTCATGCAAATGTTAGAACAAAAACTTCCAAACTTTCTCAGATCTTCCCACTCTAGTGTCAGTAATTTTTTTCCCTGGCGCCCCAGGCCAAAACAAAAACAAAACAAAACAAAAACCTGACAATTCTGCTTTTTAAGTAGTGAAATAACTTAACTATTTATGTCCTAAAAACTTAACAGCCCATTAAAAAATAATATACATCTTGAAACACATAACCATATATTTGTGTCATTCTTAGTGAATCAGTTACTGATGGGAATTTCCAAGCCTTGGAATCAGATTGGACATCACCACTCTTATTTCCTGCTTCACACTGATTTTAATTCTGCACAGCTTTATAAAGACATGATGTCCTCTAAAGGAACAGAGCCAAATGTAATCTTAAAACTGTGGACTACCGCCCAGCTAGTGTGGCTCAGCGATTGAGCATTGGCCTATGATCCAGGTGATCAAGGTTCGATTCCCAGTCAGGGCACACGCCCAGGTTGCGGGCTGGATCCCCAGTGCAGGGCGTGCAGGAGGCAGCCCATCAATGACTCCCTCATCACTGATGTTTCTCTCTCTCCTTCTCCCTTCCTCTCTCTGAAAAAAAAAACCAACAAAAACTGTGAACTACCTCCAGGTACCTGAGAGATGCAAAGTATCACTGTGCTTCCCTTGAAAATTTAACACATTTCAAGGTGACCTAGTGAGTGTACTGCAGTGCTCCAAGGCACTTCATGCCCAATTTGGGAACTGAAATATTAAAAACATATAAATTATGCTGAAATGTGGGTGGTTCCCATGAGTAAAATTTAAGTTGTTTAAATTTAGTTAATGTGGAACATGCTACCAGATTTATTAAAGCAATTGTAATACCACATAAAACAAGTTTAACCTTTGGTTTGGTTTAGTCTCTTGAAGGCAGCCTCACATTTTAAAGATTTTAAAAGTTAACTAGAGTTTGAATTTTTCATTTTAGGATTTGGAGTTAGTCCAGCTGTCTTTCCCTTTGTTATTTCTCTTCTACTCAGCCACATTTCATTTTGATAAACCCATCTACTCCAATTTAGTCATTTCTTATCTTTCTTTCCTACCAGAGCCTTTTTTAATCTGAGATGGAGTTTAAATTTATTTACTTGGGAGTGGAGGAGGAGACAAGGAGAAGCTTTTTTAAAAAGAAAAAACAATAATCGAATTATTTTCAAATTGCAATGCATTATTCTTTTGAAGTTTTGCCAAGTCACTGAAGTCATCTCTCCATAATTGTATTTTAGAGGGTGTTGTTGCTCATCTAGAAAGGATTCTTTAAGGCAAAGAAATGCTCTCATAATTTTAGACATATGTCATGCCATATAACCTTATGGAAATAAATTCTAATTCTGGTGGAATTTTACAAAGTATTTTGTTTTTATGACATCAGGAATTAGTATAATCTATCATGAACTTCACTTGCTTTCTTCCACATCATTCCACTTACTTAAAAGAATGAACATTCTACATGTCACTGATGTGTACTGAGTAAACCAAGGAGGAGTGTCTTTGTTAATACCTTAGAAAAATACTTTTCTCTCATTCCATGTCTGAGTTTTAAGGAATCCTCTTCCTAAAAATGCTCATTCCCTTCATTTCTAGGGACATTCCCTAAAATAAAAGTTGAAGCATTTTGATTGACCCCTTGACTATGCATTTATATATACAAGATGTGTTATTGCTCTGAAACCTATATCCACACCTACCCTGAACCTGACTCTAAGCATATTTACCTGCACATTTTAAAATGACCTCCATCCCCTCCTATTTGGCCATTATAGAGAATTTTTAAAAGGTATGTTAGACAAGCCATCAAACACTTTGCTTCCTGGCTTTATCTCCAGAAGCCAATGTTGAATGCTATCTGAACTTCTTGGCCCAAGACTATGGTTCTTTTATTTGCAAAGGAAACAACTTTAAGGATAAAACACCTTTTATATGTTCAGATTACCTGGGCCAGAGTTCTGCTACTTGAATCCATAGCCAGTTCAATGTGAACTCCAGAATAATAACAACTATCTTGTTTTGAGTATTTACTAACCAAAACCACGATAGCAAACACTGCACACAGAATCAAGTTTACCTTACAAAAACGCTTTACAGCAGTCATAATTATCCTTTTCTTATAAACACAAAAATTAAGGGTAGAAGAATTAAGTTGACCAAGAACAGACAGCTCAAAAATTAGTAAGTAACAAAGTTGGGGCTCAGTCCAGTTCAATCTTTATTAAAATCTGTATTCTTAACAACTTTGCCACAGTGTGTAAAGGGAAAAGTAGAAGAAATAGAGCAATGAAATTCTTGTTGTAATTTTTGCTCTGACTTCAGTCTTACTTACGGAAGAAATAAAGTAGATAATTTGGCTTACATAAATTACAAAAAATATAATTTAAAATAGCTTATATTTACACATTATTGCAATATTGTATATGGCAAATGATGTTATACATTTTCCATGGCTTTTTCTCTACGTGCTGGAATGAAAATCTTCAGTAGTAATATCATTTTATAATTTATCCAGTAATAACGGCAGTTTAAAATATGGTATTCTTTCAAAAATGGTAGGTGTTAATATAAAAATTGTTCATGGTATAGAAGATAGGTTATTAATACTGAGAGTCTGGAATTTCACCCTCTCTGTGCACCCACGTCCTCCAGAGTAGTTCCCAACCTCACTCAGCCCTCACAATCATTCACCCCACCCTTGGCAGAGGCCAAGCATAATACCAAGGTCTCCAGTAACAATAAAAGAGGCCAAGGAATAAGTATTTGGAAGAGGCACACAGGTCATGCAATGAACCCTTTTTTATGGGATTTTTTAAAAATGTTTCTATGAGCCTCAGTCCTGGATGGAGGGATGCAAATAGGTGAGATCTCACCCTACTCTTCTCATTGTATTTAGTCATTTAGATTTGGTGTTTCTTTCTGTACTGGGCCTTCTTTTTTTTTTTCTGTGCCTCATCATATTATGGTCAGTGATCCTTCATCCCCCCTATCATATACCTCCTCAGAATTTCCTTTCTGCTGGCTTCAGAGTTCATTCCCTCTCCTGTAGCCTCATTTGGATAGAATAGCTTCTGAGTTGATCACCATATTAGAGGAGTAAAGCTGAACTGCAGAAGGCATATTTGGCATTACTCAAGAGTTTTGCTTCCTTATGGGTAAAAAATGTTAATATTCTGCCTCTAACTTCTCATGCAAGTTTGTTTAACATGTTCTTGACTTATAGTAAACCATTGTGGAAGCTGTCTTTTTACCATGTATCTCAACTACTTGGAATTATATTCAACTCTTCCAGGACTGCAGATGAGAAATGGAGCTTGAGAAGATACTTTAATTAATTTAATCCATAACTTTGCTACCTGAGTTAACAGACTTTCATAAAGTTATTATAACCATCTATGTTTTATTTTTTTCCTGATTGGGCTATTTCTGACATTTTGCTCTATATTCTAATATCAAACAGCACTCCATGTAAAGATACAAGCTTAATCTTTTAGTAAAGAGACAACTACTTTTTCTGCGCCTAAGAAATCACCTCTTCACCTTCAGAAAGTGTTAAATATCTCTCTGCTTCTAAGCTTCTTTGTTCTAGACACATTTTTATTTTACTCATAGACATATTAATTCACTGAGCACTTATTTTGTGCTGGGCACCATGCTGATGCTATTGCTTATATTATCTCATCCAGACTTCACCACAACCCATTATAGTTAAGGAAACTGAAATTTAGAGATATCAGGTTAATTTATGCAAGGTCACACAGCTACTACAAATATCAGAGTCAAGATCCGCACCCAAGTTATGTACCAGCAGAATCCACTGATGTGCTTCAACCTGATGCTGTGCTGGCTGCCTCCATTTATTACCATTGACTTTGAGCTGGGACATCTGCCAGACCCTTCACATACCTTAGCTCATTAAATCTCCAAGGCAGCTTCACATGTTAGGCATCATCACACCCATACACAATGAATAAAGTGGAGAGGGAGAATAAAGATCTTGCCCAAGGTACCTGATTCTCAGGTCTCTAGCTTGCCCCATATGCCTCAATCTTCATACTAACTCAGTACTGGCTGCCCTTCAGAAAACCAGTAAATGCAAGTGATTCTGACGACACTGAAAGAAGCTACTTTAGAAGTCATTTTTAAAAATATTTTAAGCATATTCAACTCTGAATATTCTCCCTGGATATTTTAAAAACTGAAAAAGATGTACTTCTTCAGCCCAAAT